GACGGTACCTTTGAAATGTGAAGCTTAGTATATGGAAAATGGCTTGAAGTCACCTCAAGCGGACAACTCCACGAATGTATTTAAAGCTGAAAAAGACAAAAGCACAAGTTCGCCGGTTATTCATAAACTCATTCAAAGATACCACGGCGGATTTCTGTGGTAGTTAGACGACTGACTAAACAATGTACGAAGTTCATCCCAAGATACCCCAGACGGTATTCAGTGGGTGGGTTCAATAAGACCCCATGCGGTGCAACACCGGATGGGGTGTTATGATTCAAGATAGCAAGTTGCTCTCAAAAACCCCAGGCGGAGTAAAAGACCGAATGGGGGATTATAACACATTTGTAAGAACTAGCTAGATAAAATTGTAAAGTTCACTCCATGATACCCCAGACGGTATCAAGTGAATTGGTTCAGAAGTACCCCAGACGGTGTAAGACCGGATGGGGGCTATGAAAAGCACTTGAAAAAAAAAAAACTAATCAAGTTAAGAGCACCCCAACCAGTATAGACATCGGCTGTAGGCGCTGCAAAGACTATTGAGGTCATTCAACGATACCCCAGACGGTTAAATACCGGATGAGGATAAAGTAGGACCTGCTTCAAAGAAGCCTGTTCAAGAAGGCCCCAGACGGTGAATCACCGGAGGGGGATGCATTGAGTATAATTAGAAAATAAATTTAAAAGGTCATGAAAAGTCAAGGATGATGACCCAAACGGTATTAAACCGGTTGGGGGTTTGAAATCATTTCTTGGCAAGCTCAGAAGTAACCCAGGCGGTGTTAAACCGGATGGGGGTATTTTGAATGCATGATGTTTTAAGGTTGAAGACCCCTCAGACGGAGCTATGCCGGCTGAGGGAGAGAATTCAGTACTGGGATATGGGTTAAAGACCCCCAGGTGGCATGCAACCCGGATGGGGTAAAACATTCAAAATCCTCAAAATCAGAAGTTAAAAGTAAAAAGAAAGGGACAGCCGGTACCTTAGAGAAATTAAAGAAAGAATACTCAACCGGTAGCCGGATGTGCTTGATCTAAAAACGCCGGATGCAAGAAAACTAAGGAAATTATGCAGCCGGTATCAGAGCTCTCTCTATGAATTTTTTTGAAAATTATGTAAAGTGTGGAGGAGAGAGGGCATGCCTCCTATTTATAGGAGAGGGGCAGAAGGCAAAACGGTTCCTTCTGCCCTAAAAACTTAAAATTTGAAAAAAAGGAGGGAAGAAGATGAACCGTCTCCTCCCATGCGTCTGACACCTATCACAGGTGACACGTGGACATGCCACGTCACACCTGTGAGGGGCATATGTTTAGGGTAAAAATACCCATAAGAAACGTGGCCCTATAAAGGCTTGCCACGTGTCAAGCTTGCAACGGTCAGCAAGGGCCCAATCCCTTTGCGACACGTGTCATTGTACCCTAATTGAGGTACAGCTCTCCCCTACTATAAATAGTAAGGGCAAACCTCATTTATGGGGATCGACAACATATTCCAACAACCAACAAAACACAAAACCCATTGCAAACGCTCTCCAATCGAGAAGCATTTATTGTTCTTATTTCCTCTTCAAAAAGGTTCTAACTTAGTCTTCGGAGGCGGAACTCCCACCCCCTAGCCGGAGTCTCCGTTATTTGTGCAGGTACAGGCGAAGGACGGAGCATACTAGGAAATTGTAACTCTCCCGTAGGACACATAAAAAACCCCCAAACAACCGTGATGGAGATGGCTCGTTGTATGTTAAGTGAGAAAAATCTGCTAAAAAAATTCTGGGTAGAAGCAGTTCGCACATCTGTTTATTTGCTGAACAGATTGCTCACAAAAAATTCAAGGCAAAACTCCAATTGAAGCATGGAGTGGAAAAAAGCCAACAGCAAAACACTTGGATCAGTTTGCTATGCTCATATTCCATCTCAAAAGAGAAGCAAACTAGATGCAAAAGCCGAAAGAAGAATCTTCATTGGCTATGATTCACAAGCCAAAGGATATCGACTTTTCAATCTTAGCAATAAAAAGATCATGATTAGCCGAGATGCTGAATTCGATGAAGATGCAAGTTGGAATTGGGAAGAAGAGAAGGTTGAGAAGAAATTTTTTCAAGTTGATAATGAAGTGCATGATGAACCTAGAGATGAAAATATCGAAGAAGCTCCTTCCACTCATATACAAGCTGGAAATGGCACTGGCAAAACTAGTGATGATGATAATGCCACGGGTCCTAGAGGTAAGAAGACTTTCTCGGATTTGTACGAGAAATGTCCGGTCTTTCACCTAGACCCGGAGGAATGTGAAAGGTGTTACCTTGGTGTTGAAGAGCCCCAAAATATGAGCAGACTTTTGAAGACACAAGGTGGCAGCAAGCAATGGAAAATGAAATCAATATGATCAAGAAAAATCAGACTTGGGAGTTGGTTGATAGACCAAGTGATCGCAAAGTGATTGGCATCAAGTGGGTCTACAAAATCAAATTGAATCCTGATGGGACCATAAGCAAGTTCAAGGCTAGATTGGTCGTCAAAGGATACTCTCAACAAGCAGGAATTGATTATGGAGATACATTTGCTCCGGTGGCTAGGCTTGACACAGTTAAAACCCTGATTGCTTTAGCAGCTCAAGAGACATGGAAGATTTATCAACTTGATGTCAAGTCTGCCTTTCTCAATGGTGAACTCGAGGAGGAAATTTACATTGAGCAACCTCCCGGATTTGCTATTAAAGGGCAAGTGTGCAAGCTGAAAAAGGCTCTTTATGGGCTAAAACAAGCGCCATGAGCATGGTACAGCAAGATTTACTCATATCTACTTACACAAGGGTTCAAAAAAAGTAAAAATGAGCACACTCTCTATGTGAAGAATCAAGGAGAAAATTATTTTCTCATTGTTTCACTCTATGTTGATGATCTTCTTGTCACGGGAAACAATTCAAAGATGATCCTCTCGTTCAAGGAGGAAATGAAAAGGAAGTTCGAAATGACAGACTTAGGCTTAATGAATTATTTCCTAGGGATGAAGTTCATCAAGCTGAAGATGGAATCTTCATCTCTCAAAGGAAATATGCAAATGATGTTCTTAAGAAATTCCATATGCAAAACTGCAAGCCAGTCAATACACCTCTTGTAGTGAATGAGAAGCTGTCTAGAGATGATGGTCAAAGGAAAGCTGACACTAGGCAGTACGGGAGCTTAGTTGGAAGTCTACTTACCTAACAACCACAAGGCCAGATCTGATGCTCGTGGCAAGTTTGCTTTCAAGGTTCATGAGTGAACCAAGTGATGTTCATATGGGTGCTGCCAGAAGAGTGCTCAGGTATATAAGAGGAACCTCATATTTTGGTGTTATGTTTAATGCAAGTGCAAACTCCAAATTGTTGGCATATTCAGACAGTGACTGGGGTGGTTCAAACGATGACATGAAAAGTACTATGGGATATGTTTTTTCACTTGGATCTGGAGTGTTTTCATGGATTTCGAAGAAGCATGAAGTAGTAGCTCAATCCACAGCTGAAGCCTAGTACATTGCAGCATCGGCAACTGTCAATCAAGCTATGTGGCTCAGGAAAATACTTGCTGACTTGAGACACAAACAGGAAGAAGCTACTGAAGTTCTAGTAGACAACAAATCAACAATTGCTATTTCAAAAAATCCAGTTTGTTTCAGCAAGACAAAGCACATGAAGATTAAGTATTATGCACTTCAAGAAGCTGAGCAAGAGAAAGAAGTTAAGCTGATTCATTGTCCTACTGAGTTCCAGCTAGCTGACATTTTGACTAAGGCTTTACCAAAAAGCAGATTTGAGTTTCTCATACTCAAGCTTGGTATGATGGCCAAAAGTCTCAAGGAGGAGTGTTAGTAAATGAGACTTTTAGTGTTCAGCAATTAGTGAAGAAATCAGTGAATAAACTTGAATGTACTAGAGTTATTAGGAGTAGTTGAAATGCCAAAAGTTGTGACTCTTCATTGCATCACAATAATGTAAAAGGCATCCCTCACCCCTATATAAAGTACTCTTGTATATATCAAAATAATACAAGAAATCTTCCCGCTTTCTTTCTACATACACTGTCCAGCTTTGCTCTAACAGTTATTACCTAGCAATAAACTCATTATTCTGAGTTTTTAGAAAAACTCAGGTTTTCAAGGCAGCATAGTTTGTTAATATGATGTCATTATTTATTTCATTAATTGGGTATGAGCTTTTTCAATTTTCTCTCGTAAAACTAGTTTAAAAGTTCTCCTCAAGTCCTTTATAATTTAATAACTTATGCTGGTGGTGACTAGAGAAAAATATGTGACTTGTGCAGTTGTAGCTGCTATACTTTGCTGGGAAGTAGGTTTGATGATGCTGATCCTACTCTAGTTATTCTGTATAGGAATTTCTGCATCTCTTTTGGGTGCTAGCATGCACTAATCTGAAAATTGAAATTTGGTTTTAATATTTTGATTACTGGAATTGAAATTTATGCCCACTTGCTGGTGCTTGCACGGGGTGGCCATTTCGGATATCCGATCCGATCCAATCCGAAAATTTCAGATCGAGAAAACTACGATATGAATCCTATCTGAAAAAAACTGGATATCCGATTTTCGGATCGGATCACCGGATATCCGATGCGCTTACTAATATTGAAATATTTGTTTTTCTTTTGGTAAAATGCCCTTGATTTGAGTTGTTTAAAATCTTATATTTTATGAACTTTCGTAGTGATTATAAGAATTTAAATAAACACAACAAATTCAAGCACAATGATGCAATAAGGTTCACTTGATTATTTAGGCAACTAAAAAATACTTGTAAAAAAAAAAACACTTCCTTGAAATCCAAAATACAAATACAGTATTACACTATTATTGGGAGTTTGTTGCAAATTAGTTAAATTTTTTTATAATTTTATTTTATATTGAAAAATCGGATCGGTTTATGACATAAAAGGTGGTTCTCACCGGATTCCGACTCTATATATATATATATATATATATATAGGATCGAGTTATAATGAGAACCTCTTATATAATAGAAACTAGGAACTAATTAGGGCCGTTGGATCTAACTTAGAGCGGCCCAGATGAATTCACAATCAAGCGCACTTTCTGACATTTCTCTCTCCTCAAGCGCAGCGATTACCCTACTCCATTGAAGCGGATTTCGAGCTTTCTCTACTCCATTGAAGCAGCTTCTGAGGTAAGATGTTTGTTTTCCTCTTTTTTGAGTCACGAATTTCAATTTCACTATCTATGGTTTATCGTTAATTATTTTGTCAGTTTAGGATTCTTTATAGTGAAATTCGAGCTTTTGAGGTTATGAATGATTATACGATTAATTTTGTTGCTAGAATTTCTAAACACCTAGATCTGAAAGTACTGTCATTCAAATTTATATGAATTTTGGTGAGTTTGCAAACAAATCTATGTGAACTGAGTGAATTCGTACTATAAGTTTTTAACAATTGAATCTATATGATTTTTTGAATGTTTTTAGCTTATGATTTGGAGCTCGATTCTAAACACTAGTGAGATTTTCATGCCTGAATTTGTCTATTTTTTTACTTTACATTGAATTAATTTTGATTATTCAATTATTGTTGTTGATTTCTTAATGCACACCAAGTGTTTGACAAAATGCCTCAATGAATCTTATTATTTAATCAATTGCAAATGTAGATAGAAACAAAGTAAAAGTAAATCAATTATATTTTATAGTAGATTGAAAAACTGACATTGTGATATATATATATGAGCTATCAAAATCAAAGGGAATGTAGAATTAGAGGTTTAGGAAATTGAAGGTCCCCTAAAACTATTATATATTTTTTGAAGTTAAGTGTAACTTTAATTTTGATCTCATAATACCGATTTTAATTCTAGTTAGAGGCTTTTTTTTTTTCCTGAATTCCACTCTGCTGCATATCAAATTATAAGTACACTTGATAGTGGCTGTGAAGTATGAATTGTGTTTGGTTTATAAATGATCTATTACTTATATACGATATTATTCTTTCATGAAGTTCTGTTGTTTTTAAAAGTAGATAGAAAATTCAAAAAGTTTGTTTCATTTTTTGTACGTACGATTTTTAGTGAATATCGTTGAGATTTTTGGAGAATTTGGCAAAGTTTAACATATACAGTGATGCTTATGATGCATTGATGCTTAATTGTCTAAGATAAGTCGTGTCTTTTATTGGTGACTAAAGTAAACTAAAATTATTCAAATGTGAATTAAATCAATTTTAAAGTACAATATTTTTTTCTGTACCTAGTGAGATGATGTTTGAGAGGCTGCCAAGTGGGGAACGAGGTTATTTTATGACTCTGTGTTTGAAAGGCTGGCAAGCGAGGAGCGAGTTCAACCTGAATGTTGCACAACATCATAAACCAACTTCTGGCAAATCTCATCACTCCAAGTATTGACGGAACTTGGTTTCAAGACTGAAGTTACACTTGATGATGTATTGGCAATGCTTCAAACTTGGAGAACGTTGGAGTCTACATTCACAGCCAGGACGCCAGGTAGTAATCTATTGCAGAGCTCGTCACTTTTCTGCCTATTCTTGATCATTGGTTGATAAAAAGCTGCTCATTTCTTTGTTCTTAATCTAAATTGCTGATCTGTTGATTTAGAAATTCATTGTAATCTAGCCCCTGCATATTTCACAAAAACTTAAGCAGTCATTCAAATCAACGTGACGGCTTTGTAAGAGAGATTGAACAACCTAGTACAATTTTACCATCTAAAGAAGTTATAAAGCTAAATCTTATATTACTTGCTGCTTACCCACTGTGCTGTTATTGAACTAATAATGTCTCCTTTGAGTATTATTTTATCAATTTCAAAAGTAGATAGAAACCAAATAAAAGTAAACTAATTACATTATAAAGTAAATAAATAAACTGAACCTATGATTTAGAATATGAGCAATCAGAAATTGTAGCTTGTGTTTGCTCTTATCAGATTAGAAAATATATGGGTGTAGCATTGATATATATTGGCCATTAGCAAGGGCATATATGGTTTCATTGAAATCATGTGGTGGTAGGAATGTGGAAGTGCTGATGCTCTAAGGGAAATGCTCAATGACCCAAATTCCTATTTGGACCATGGCATGGGAAACATTATCAGGGACGTTGCTCATCTTCTCCAACGAAACTTGTCTGTTACTATTCTCCATGCTGGGAGGGCAGTTAACCATTTGGCTCACCAGCTAGCTGCTCTTGGAAGATGTCAACCTCAGGTAAGAATGTTCCATCTCTGTCCTCCTAATGAGGTGTTTGACACTTACACTGCTAAAATTCCAGATCTTGAAGCTGCTTGATCAAGGCTTCTTTGCTGCTGTTCCTCGCCAAACTTTTGCTTCAACTGTCACCTTCACTCGGCATTTTGTCAGCAGCTTTATTTTTAGTTATTTCTTGCTTTCTTTGTCTTTCTGTATTCTTTTCTATTCTAGGAGTGGTCTTACCACTTTATCCTCTTTTGCGTTAAAAAAAAGAGTTTGTGGAGATGAGAGTATGGATTGAGGAGGCTCCTCCTTGTGTAATGGATGCTGTTATGCTAGCATTCCTTAATAAAGTATGTTGCTGCTTTCTGTCAGCAAAAAAAAAAAAAGTTTTCATGCCGAGAAATATATCCGTTGTCTCTAAAAGTAAATTAAAAGAATATAAAGTGAATAAAAAGGACTTTAAAGTAAACCTTAGCTCAAGTGGTATAGCACTGTGCGGATGCATAGAGGTGTAAGTTCGATTCCTACATAGGTTTAAATTCATTTAATTGCTGCAAATTAAATTTATTTGTGTATTTTTCTACTAATTATAATAGATGCTTATGTTGAGAAGTTTCCAGCTAAAATTTGTGCTAATACAAATTGATGTTGGAAGCAAATTTCGTTTTAAATCTTATGAAACTTTGCATATTTGCATATTTGAATTTTGTTAATTATTGTTTTTATATGCAGTAGTTCCACATTAGCCTCACCTGGACAGTAGGTTGTGGTCTAGATTTAAAATTGGAAGCAGAATAGATACCATAATGCATTGAGGTTGCAAGCTAAGTGAACTAATCGGTACATTTTTCTAACTGTTTGTTTAACAAAATGCCCTAATGAATCCAATTATATTATCAATTTCAAATGTAGATAGAAACCAAGTTAAAGTAAACCAATTATATTTTATAGTAAATCAAAAAAGCTAAACTATGATTTATAATACATGAGCAATCGAAATCTAAGGGAGTGTAGAATCAGAGATGTGAAAGCTGGTGTGGGGGATTATTAAAACTACACTGATGGATATTCTGGGACATGTAGAGAGGAGTTTTAGTGGGCACCTGCTGGAAGCTCTTGCAGAGTTCGTGTGTCAAATCAGATGTAGCAATTTTCGAAGGTAGGGGGGTTGGCTTGGGTGTTGTAATTAGTGATGAACAAGGGAAGATTATGGCTGTTATGGTGCAAAAATTAGATGTAGAGTTGGTTGTTGTCATGGCAGAATCCTTGGCTGCAAGAATGAGAATGGTGCTTGCTAGAAGAATGGCATGTCAATATATGGAGTTCGAGTATGATGCTGCGTTTGTTGTGAATTAGAATCATAGGTTTTCATTAATCCTTTTGTCCTCCAGACTAGCAATTGTCTAATTTCATAGAAGGATCATAATCCCAAGTGATCTCTAAAGTAAATAAAAAAGAATATAAAGTAAATAAAAAAGACATTAAAGTAAACCTATTAGCTCAAGTAGTAGAGCACTATACGGATGCATAAAGGTGTAGGTTCGATTCCTACATATGTTATCTCTAAAAAAGATATAAAACACACTAAAGTAACTCAAAATTTCTCAAAAGTAAATCAAAATAACTAAAAAGTAAATCACATTAGCTTAAAAAAAAATCAAAATTTAAAAATACAGTAGTATATAGCAGTAGTGGGTCTGACAATAGTATATAGCAGTAGTATGGGTCTGACTCTTTCAAAACACCATCATATAGTATTTCATAGTAAGAAAGAGAAAGAGAAGCTTGTTACATGTGCCCTCTTAGATTGTACTTTGAAGTCATCCTCTAATATATTTCAAAAGTAGATTCAAAATACTAAAAAGTAAATTGAAATATTTTAAAAGTCAATAAAAAAAAATCTAAAAAGTGGAGTAAATAAAAAATAATTTTATCTAATAAATAAACCTTCATGGGATCGGCAACTACATATCTTTTGTCCATTTACACAATGCTCAGCGTATTTAGCTAGTAGGCCAGTGTATTAAATCAGATGCAACAATTGAAGTAAAACAAAATGACTCAAAAGTAAATAAACAATTCTCAAAGGTAAATAAAAAAATCTATTTAGTATATATACAAGCATTGGAAAATTTGGACCATTACCATTATAATGTCAATTAGACGGTCAATCATTGTATTGAGTTTCAACATAAAGATAGACAGCCAAAAATCCATCAAAGTTCACAGAAAGCTTTGCGAATAGCACAAATTAAATCAAATCAAACAAAAAAATTCATCTAATAAATAAACCTACATGGGATTAGCCCACATATTTGTGTATTTGCACAATGCTCTACCCGTTGAGCTAGTAGGCTAGTAATACTCCGTGTTAAATATTCAAAGTGAAAAAAAAAACTCAAAAAGTAAATACAAAAATCTTAAAAGTAAAACGAAAATTCTTATAGAAATGGACCTAAAGAGGAATTGTCAAGTAAGCATCTCGACTACTTGCATTAGTGCAGATTAACTTAAGAGAATCAATAATCAGATGGAAGAACTTGTATTAGTGCTCATTAGCAACGCACAAACTCAATTTAACAAGGAGAAGTGGTACTTGATACAAATCTTATTACTTAAAGACTAGGAAGGAGTGGCCATTTAATTTTTCAGCCTAGGAACTTCATGCTAGATGTTTTAGACAAGTCATATCCACAATCATTCATCAATTATCACAAAAGCAAGTCTAATTTGATAATATCTGTACTAACACTGTAACACTATCATATGGTGCATAAGATTTAAGCTTACTAACACTGTAACACAATCGAAAGCAAGTCTAATTTAATTCTTATAATATAGTAATGCTATTGTAATCAGCAAATCTGTATATTTCAGTTCTTACTAAACACACGCCAATAACCAGCTTAGTAATCTGTATCAGGACCAAATTTAACCCATCCCCTTAAGATTCATTTAGAGAAAACATGCAAGTAGAAAGGGAGAAAAGAGTTTGTTTCTTCACAATCATTATTTACTGAATTCTAACTGTAATTATTTAAAAACAATTGCCCGAGCAAACTAAAGACAGCCAAAAAATCATCAGAGTGCAAACAGAGCTGAACTATAAGTGATAGACCAAACAGGATGAATTGTCTCTGATGTTTCCTTTCTTGTGGCCAAAGAGTATTCCAAGCTGCACCAACGAGTTTAGCGGCGAATTTAGGTTTACCAGTATCTAATTCTAATTCCTAAAAGCGAACTACAAGCTATACTATATCTATACAAGGTTATCACTTAAACAATCTTATATGCAATCATCTTACTTAAAGCCAAACAAACACATAGCAGGCAGCATTGTTCTAGCATTTTTTTGGTTCACCTTGCCTTACATGACCCACGAACTACACCAACTAAAGCTTATACACACAACACCACTTCACAGCCCCACAAACAAGCCACTAAAACCCATTAACTACCTCAAGAAATGAAGTAATAAACTTCCAAAATTAATTAAAGTACACAAACTAAGATTGATTAACGCCAATATTAACTATATTGTAATTTGTAATCTAAGACAATAATATGAGATAAGCTACTGACTACTAATCAAAAATAAGATTATAAATGAAAGAAAGGATGAATTAACCTATGAACATAATGCACCTAAAGCTAAAGATTGTTTGTGAACTCAGATGAGCAGTTAAGTTCTACATTGATTCACCTTAAAATAAAAAATCCCCAATTTATGCAAATTAATCGAGTAGTTAGAAATTAATAACTACTACAATGTAACTCAATTGCACTCTAAACCCTAATTAGTACTCGAATTCTATTAACTATATTCAAAATAATTCACCAATAACCCTTAATTCCGTAATAAAACCCACAAAAACGTGATTTAAAAATCAAATTAAATCAAAGACAAAATCAAACAACTTACTTTTGATCACCGGAATAACCAACTATGAAACTCCATTTACCAAATCAAAGAATAAGGTGCGAAGATCGAAGGAAAAAAAAATCGCCAGACAGAGAATTCATAGTAAGAGAGAGAAAGTATAAAGAAGAGAGAGAAAGCATAAAAAAGAAGTGAACTCTGGATAGGATTTGATAGAATTACCAAAATGCCATTACTCATGCAAAAAGGCGAACAACATCCCAGCCGTCTGATCAAATGAATCAATGGCTCAGATGAGTTTCTAGTTTCTATTATAAACCTAAATTCTCACATGATATATATATATATATATATATATATATATATATAGGGTCGGGATCCGGTGAGAACCACCCTTTATGTGAGGACACTCCTTATATATGAGGACAAATCTAAGCCTTAGGATCAAACAATATCAACGGCTATACTGCTGCGATATATCAAACATATACTCTGCTGCGAGCTTCAATTTAAGTGAGGTTCAAATATTTCAACATTATTCAATTCGATTTTTGTCAAATTTCAGCAGCAACAAGAATCAACAAGCTTCATAGATTATACAGGTAAATAATCAACAAAAGTTTTAGTGTTCTCCGAATGTAATCTACTTAATTTTTGTTAGTATTTTCGAATTTTATGGTTTGAATGTTGGATTTTCATTAAAATTTTACCAATGAGTGATCTTAGCATCAAAATTTACAAAATATTTTTCAATTGCATGTTAAGCTTAGTGTTTGACGATTTCAAATTGTTCAGTTCGAATTATTTTCGTTAATTACATGTTAATTGCATGATAATTTTCGATTTTTGAGGTTTGTTCTGTTCTCATTGAATTACATGTTTAATTGCATCAATCGCCAATTATTGAATTACATGTTAATTACATGATAATTTTCGATTTTTAAGGTTTGTTCTATTCTCATTGAATTTCATGTTTAATTGCATCAATTATTCATTTGATTGAATTTACTTCTTTGAAATTTTTTGAATTAAATCAATAATTTAGGTTCGTTTGATAGAGATTGAAAATTTGCAATCAAATTTAAAATGAGCAAATGAATTGAAAATGAGCAAACCTAAATATTTGTAATAATATAAAAAAATATAATGAGCAAACATAATTAAAATGAACAAATGAGCAAAATAAGTTGGTAATGGTGGTGGTGGTAGGGTGCAGGGGACAGAGGCGGCAACGGGGGAGTGAGAGTGAGACAGGTTGTGGTGGTGGTAAGGTGCAGGGACATGGGCGGAGGAAGGAGAGAGTGTTTGGTGGTGGTGGTGATTGTACAGTGTAAGAAAAAGGGTGAGAAATGGCATTTAGCTCATTAACATGAGTTGCAGAAGCAGTGAAAGTGAAAGAGATGGATGTAACTAATAAGCAAATATTTAGTTGCTCATTTATCAAATGAGCAAGTAATTAGTTGCTCATTTATCAAATGAGCAAGTAATTAGTTGCTCATTTGTCAAATGAGCAAATACTTAGTTGCTAATTTCACAAATGAGTATGATTGATGTACAAGATATGATTGATGTTGTATATGATGCGCTTAGCTAATTAAAATTTCATCAATATTTTCACGAATTTATCCTTTTATGATTTTGGCTTGAGTCCATGAGTTTATCCTTTTATCTGATTTATTTATGATCATGGCTTGGGTACACTAATTTTATATAGCATTATGGTGGTAAAAATGATGGTGGCATATTCCTGCAACTTATCGTTGGCTTCGCTCATAAACTATGTATGAAAAACACTCAGAGGAATCCTATAACTTGGCTTGTATTCTTACTCTTCCTCCTTACCAGAGGAAAGGCTAAGGAAAATTTCTTATTGCATTTTGTAAGCCTCCACCCTTAACAATTTTCTAGTAATTTTTCGCTCTGCTGTGTTACTTCACTGCTTCTTATTCTAAGGATCCAATGAAGTATGGGGTGTTATGGTCTTACACAATAGGGAATTTATGCTCGGCATTTTGCTAATATATGCATAGCCATTTCTCTCTTTGTTGCTAACATCAGCTATGGTTGCAACTGCTTATGAATTTTCTAAGAAAGAAGGTAAGGTGAGCACACCTGAAAGGCCACTCTCAGATCTGGGGTTGTTGAGCTACAGGGAATACTGGACACGTGTTCTTCTAGATACCTTGAAGAAGCATAAGGGAAACATATCTATCAAGGTTTGTAAAATGAAAATAAACCAAACTTCTGAGGATCCCTGCGTCTATTTTTTAGTGTTTTTTACTAAAACTTTTGTACTTCTGTTTCTTGCTCGATTGTGATGAATATGTGGCTTATTGTTTTGCAGGAGCTCAGTGACATGACAGACATCAAAGCAGAGGATATTTTGTCTACTCTCCAAAGTCTGGAGCTGATCCAATATCGCAAAGGGCAACATGTCATATGTGAACCTATTAGCTCAATTGGTAGAGCACTATGCAAATGCATAGGGGATGTAGGTTCAATTCCTACATAGGTTATCTCTATAAACAAAATTAATTAAAAAAAAAAATAAAATCAAATTCGTACTAAATTATATGAGCAAAAAAATGGTATATAAACTTTGTTACAAGTAAACTCTCATACATACAAACTTGTGTCTCCACATTACATAAATGAACCTACGTGGGATTCGAACCCACATCTTTTGTGCATTTGCACAATGCTCTACCCTTGAGCTAGTAGGCTAACGTATTTAAAACATTCAAACACACTCACAAATGAGCATTAATTTGACAAAATGAGCAAGAATCGTTTTCTCATTTGACAAATTAGCATTAAATAGTTTGCTCATTTGACAAAGGAGTAAAAATTAATTGCTCATTTAATTTGACAAATGAGCAAAAAATAGTTTGCTCATTTGATAAATGAACAAAGAATTGTTTTGCAATTTTATAACCTGTAATAGTGGGTGTCTTTTGTATTGTTTTGCCAATAGCCAAAAGAAATAGATTTCATTAACTACTCAAAATTTTCAAACTCTACATTTTCACATTACTCTACATGCTAATTGAGTGTAGTTTACTCATTTGTGAAATGAGCAACCATTAGTTTGCTCATTTATTTGCTCATTTGTGAAATGAGCAACCATTAGTTTGCTCATTTGTCAAATAAGCAAATAATTAGTTATTCATTTGTAAAATAAGCAAACATTTCTTTGATCATTTGGAAATGAGCAATCGATTTTTTGCTCATTTAGCAAATGAGCAGATAACTAGTTGCTAATTTAACAAATGAGCAAAAACTTAGTTGCTCATTTGTCAAATGAGCAAACATTTCTTTAATATTCATTAAATCAACAAAACCATTAGTTTGCTCATTTGTCAAATAAGCAAATAATAAGTTACTCATTTGTAAAATAAGCAAACATTTCTTTGATCATTTGGAAAATGAGCAATCAAATTTTTGATCATTTGGGAAATGAGCAATCAATTTTTTTTTACTCATTTAGAAAATGAGCAAATAGTTAGTTGTTCATTTGTCAAATGAGAAAACATTTAGTCTTAACTTTTTAAGTGTAACACAACACACAATTGCGGATTTGTTACTCAACATTGTTACTTCCAAGAAACTAAAGTAAAACTAAGTGAGCACGTTCAAAGGTTCAAGGACCAATTTAGCCATAAATAAGGTGAATGAAACCAAGGTCCTCAAATACTCTACATATAGTGCTATATTATGATTTATTCCTCTTTATGTAGTACCTAAGAACTAAACTCTGAAGGAACAACAAACTGAGAAACAAAAACCAGAGAATAAAACATGGAAATTCCCTTGCCCTATAAACAGCTCAGCTAACACATTTTCAAATTACAGAGTATGCTTGTATTAGCAAAGATTTCTTTTCATTTTTTAATGAACTTTTTTTCTTCTTTTTTTACTCCCATAAATTAAGGTCTCGCTTAAAATTAAAGCATCAAAAGCAAACCTCATGGTAAACTTTCAAGTAAGCCTTTTTTTTTTCTTTTCCTATTTGGATCATTAGGGGGGGTGATTACTAATAAAGTCCCCTGACAATCTTGGCTCAGGCAGAAGTGGAAAAATTGGCCTAATCATTGCAGATAGGAGTTGCATTGGCAAAGTATGTAAATGTTAACCCAAGATATTAGAATGGACTAAAGGCAATGATAATTTGATACTGATTAAGTGAAATTTTGATTAAATTAGTGAGTCAAATTGACATGACAAGATTGACAACTGAACATGAGATACCTGAATTTAATATGCATAAATGAAGATACATCATGATTGTTCTGATACTCTGAAAGAAAAAGGAAGCAGCTACAAGTGAAACCCTAAAGTTTGAGAGCATACCCATTGTGACTGCCATGACCACCATTGTGTTGAAGCCAAAGTACGCCACATGATTAGCAATGGCCTGTTCAAAAAGATCATGTTGAGCTAGGGGAAAATATAAAAATATTTAATAAAGTTCGCAATGATTGAGAATAAATTACCACCATCACTCGATTTAGAGGTAGCTTGTAATATGCTACTAGAGGACCCGTCTACAATCAAGTGAACAATGATTAGCACCAGTTTCCTGAAAAAGAAGCTTGATCACTTATTTTAAAGACATAATCCATGAATGAAGCATATGATATTCTGGTAATAAGCAGAGTATCATCCACATTCATTCAAAAATTTCAATAATAACACAATGGAGTTATAGGAAGTCGACTCACAGATTCGCCACATAAGTTCATGTAGGTCTGAGGTTGTTTGTCCACTTGCCTCCATTAGCACAAATTGGATCCTCCCATTTAGGCTAAATTTTATTCTTGAAACGGTGAAAATCTGCCCCTACGACATGTATCTTAATCATATAATTAGAAAGAATAAAACTTTAAAGTCTACAACATGTTCAAATTGTTGCTAACTCTTATTTTCATACTAAGTAAAAATTTCAAACTATAGTTCAGATTTCTCAATATCATTCTAATATGCCACATGCCGAGAGTAAAGACATAAGACAATTCTTGATAACCTAAGACATGAGCTACTTTGCAATTTTACACTATTAAACCTCTATCACTTCATCCATCCCCTATATTTAAAAGGCATGAGTTAGCGCACTTTGATGAGCAAAACGTAATATTGGGACATCAATAACATGGATATCAGAAATGTAATATTCATCAACAGCCAAAATTCAATGAATAATTTCTTAACTAGTGTCACTTATCCAATAGACCTATGATATTGTTCTTGCAAGAAGATCCAATAACCTTGTATTCCGGTAACAGTACAAATGGTTCTTCCAATATCCGAAAAGAATGCTCCAATTTGTATGGAAGAGCTAAATCCTTCTCTTCCCCTAAATATTATCATCAACAATATACCAAATGACAGTTAAAAAGTTGACGCTATTAGACTATTAAACCCATAAATATCACAAGCAACCCTCACTAATCCTACCAAATGCCTCGAAAAATCAAGTTGTTCACAGAAACCATTAACCTGATTCACAAATTCAACACTCATGTTTCCTTAATCCAAGAATAATGATCAACAATTAGCTACGCTAATCAAGAAACTAACACAAGAAATCAAACTAAACAAAATCACACAAGAAAACCTTAGTCACCCACATAACATTTCTCCAAGAAAACGAAATCAAAACCCTAATTCAATCACCCACATCACAAAAAGATTCAAACAACCAAATTCAATAAATTCGCAATCAAATTAATAAAATTGAAAAACAAAGATAAAAAGAGATAATCTCGCCTTCCTCCAAATCATCATCGTCTTTTCTCTAGTCTTCAATCTCAGTTGCTGCCATTGATTTCTCAAGCTCTTCTACTGCCATAGTATTGCTTCTCTCTCTAAAATCTTTCAAATTTGTTGGGATTTTCGATTTTCTAAGTTAGGATGAACTTGAACGAGGAGAGAGAAATTATGCGTGAAAGAGGAACGAGGATAGAGAAAAAACGCAGGAACTTGGTTTCAAAAGAAATTGTTTTGTTTGACCGGGATTAATTGTGGCCATTGGATATAATTGATCCAACGGTTATAATGAGTCCTCACATATAAAAGGGTTCTCACATAAGAGATGTGGTCTCATATGATCTCATATATATATATATATATGAATATGAGGTTCCGCTGAAAACAGAGCTTATGGTGAAAACTAAAAACAAGCAATCTTAGCCATTGAATGTTCACTAGATAATCTGATGGTGTGAAACAACCCATAGGATAAGGTATATAGATTTTGATAACATTACATAAAGGTAACTATATACTAAAATAAGGTAATTATATTGATTTGACAACATTTCATTAAGGTCACTATATATAAAATTAAGGTAATTATATCAATTTGACAACATTTACACAAAGGTCACTATATACAAAAATAAGGTAACTATATCAATTTTTACAATATTTACTTAGAGGTCACTATATACAAAAATAGGGTAATTATATCAATTTTGACCACATTTACATAAAGGTCACTAATATACAAAAATAAGGTAACTATATCAATTTTGACCACATTTATACAGAGGCCACTATATATAAAAATAACAAATGTCACTATATATAAAAATAAGGTAATTATATCAATTTTGACAACATTGACCACATTTATATAGAAGTCACTATTTACAAAAATAAGGTAACTATCATCAGATAATTTCTTCTGCTCCTCCTTATCATCAGATAACTTCTCCTGCTGCTCCTTATCATAAGATAACTTCTGCTGCTCATTAACATCTGATGCTTTCTCCTGCTGCTCCTTGTCATCTGAGCCTTTCTCCTGTTGTCCTTTATCCTCTGATTGTCCCTTCTGAGTAACACTTGGGGAAGAAATCTTTTCCTGATGAATTAGGCCTTCGTCAATAATGGAGCTGCTCAATTTTTTGATAAACTCATACAAGGCCTCTACTTCACTCTCTATGACTGCAGACAAAGAAGTCATCACTGATATATGAAAGGTGATTCGTATTAATCAACAGAGGTTTCCACAAAATCAAAACAAGTATTTGAAAGGTAAGCAGTATTTTGGGATATGATGCACACTCACAATTTTACTCCTTGCTAATAGCTAGGCTATTCCTCATTATTCAGCACCATTTGGTCTTCTAGGATAAACAATTTTTGGAATTTGGCAAGTGCTTATCTATTCAACTTTGGCACTTTATAATATGGTAGTTTATTGAAACTTCTAAGTAGAAGATTTCAAAATATACTAGATATATTGGCTAATCTGCATAGCAAATCATGAATGCTTCGAAGCTGAAACAACAATATCAACTTACAAATTCCCATGAACCTAGAATTCTGATTTCAACCCATATATTCCCCAAATTAACCACAACAAAGTATAAATAATGCAAGAATAAAACAAAATTCATAATAATGAAACACATGCAACCGAAAAAATCATAATCGAACACAAAACCATAATCGAAAAAATTGAAAAGATCATAATGGAACACAATCATTAAGCCATAAAACACTGTTGGACAATCGAAATAAAAGACCTAGAAATTAATGTAGATAAAAGAATTTCTTACGATGAAATTAAGTCGAATTTTAACGTAATCACACTCATATGAAACGCAACAATAACCAATTCACAGTTTTCCTACATTAAAGACAGATATATGCAGCAACAAATTCTTGAAATAATAACAATATAACCACATCCAAACAGACAAAATAACCTAAATTCACATAGATATATTCACATCCAAACAGAAAAATTAACCTAATTGACAGAAATATTAGTAAATTTCAACTAAATTAAACAAAATAAACAATGCAAAAATCATACGATTAAGCAATTTACATTTTGCAATCCCTAATCATAATTTGTACACAGTCGACTACAGTTTTGAGCATAAGCACAACCAATTTTAATTGAAATGCAATTCATAAACTACCAAATTTTAATCATAATTGCAAATAAATATACAACAATTTGGAATCTGAAAAAATTGAAACATAACATTGTGAATCTAAAATATTAACAGGCCGGAAAAATTGAATGCTTGACTTGACAAAATTCGCATGCTATACAACAAATTTTGAATCCAAACAACAATTTTTATTTCATAACAAAAACATTCGAGCAATTAACTAGCAATAAACCCTAGATTGTGAAATTGATAGTTGATAATTTAAGAAATACTACATGAGAAGCCGCTTCAATGGAGTAGAAAGCTCGAAGTCGCTTCAATGGAGGATCGAGAAAGCTCAAACTCGCTTCAATGGAGGAGAAAGCTCAAAACTCGCTTCAATGGGATGAATATTCAACGACGAAAATGACTAACTCACATAATAGATTGTTGATTGAGAAATTGATGAAGAACCGAAGAAATTGTAGCTGGATTTCCAAAGTTAACATGAATTTTGGAAGAAGATTAGAGAAATTAAGAGAGAGAAGGTAGGAAATAGAAGAGAGAGGAGAGAGAAAATAATTGGCATGCATCTAATCTCAGTCGTTGGATCTAAATAATTGGCATGCATCTAATCTCAACCATTGATCATGTGAGAACACATCCCTTATGTGAGAACCCCAACTTATGTGAGAACAACTTACAACCATTGGATTTAATTAGATCCAACGCTCTAAACTCTACCCGGTTTGAGTAATGGCACTTTTTGTAAATAAAATAACTTTCTAAGTTGTATATAAGAAACTTTATAAAAATTAGTCTAGCTTATTCTCTCTCTAAAATTGTTGCAGCTAATTCTTTTTCTCTCTCTCTATCTGATGTCCGCTTTCTTTTCTAGAAATTCAGCTAGCTTTCCCCTTTCTCTCTCTTCTCTCCCATAGATCTTCGATTGTAATGCCTCAATATCATCAATTTTCAGCTTGAATCTTCAACTATTTTGTTAGGTCTGTAATAATTACTTATAATTCGATTTTTGGCTTCAATCTTTAAATATTGTTAGCTTATAATATTTTTCAATTTCACTTTAAACCTTACAAATCGTGAATTTCTAAATTGATTCAGCACAAGCTCCCAACAACGAATCTGAATTTCTTACCTATGAACGAAGAATGGAAGTAACAATTTATTGATTTTTATTTTGTAGCATTTTTACTTGTCAACACAATCAATTTATTGATTTTTTTCGATTTTTTTTTCACTGAGCAATTGAAGAATTGTGTAATGTATTTCTTTAGTATTATGGAACTCTAGAAGTAAAATACGTTAATTACAATTTCTGTAAATTTTTTTATTTAGCATGATTTTAAATAGGATTTTTTTGGTTTTATTGACAACAAATCATGAATTGCTTTTGTTTTTTCCAATTATTTATTTGCTCATTTTATTTTACTTTGCTCATTTTATTTCAGTTTGCTAATTTGAATTCAGTTTCTATGATAAATTCCTGAACTTGTCATCCGACTTAAAAACTTTTTGTGTACACTAATATTATTTTTGATAATCATTAAACATGAATGGCCTATGATGATTCCTGAACATTTCATATGAAATGGCATTGGTGTGTCTTGAGTTGGTGTAATTAGTGAAAAAATCATGTATAAACTTTGATGTTATTAGTGTAATATTAGATCAATTAGATGTTATTTTGTTGGATACATGTAGTTTCCATGTGTTGGTCAGATTTTTGGAGTAAATGCCTTATGGAAATTGGATTGGTTTTAAGTTGAAGATTAGGGAGTATGCACTTTTTCTAGAGCGAATTAACATTGTCCTGGCCTAATTTTGGCTCGGTTTAAGTGGATGTTTCTAAGCCAAAGTTGAAGAGTGTTAAGAAATATGCATAGAGGGATGTTGTCTAAGCCATCTAGAAAATTGTCTGTTACCTGAGCAAGTCTTGTTTGTAGGAGATATCAGTTCTATATGTTCTGACATAACCGCTAGTCAATGCAATAACCAGAAACTATCATCATCTTCCTACATATTAGGGCCCATGATGTTAGTTAGCTTTTCAAAAAATTGATATTAATTCTTTAACCCATTCAAATGCTCATTTATCAAATGAGCAAATTCTTTGCTCATTTGTCAAATGAGCAAATAATTTTTGCTATTTTGTCAAATGAGCAAACAATTACTTGCTCATTTGTCAACTTACAGATCATGTTCCTCTCATCTGAGTATCATAAATGTCCTTTTCTGAGGGATTTGAACCCTCCGTGCTTTGATAGTTGCAAATACTAAAATACTTATTTGCTCATTTGTAAAATGAGCAAATAATTATCAGCTCATTTGTAAAATGAGCAAATAATTATCAGCTCATTTGTTAAATGAGCAAATACAATTGGTACCTTTTATGCCTTGTGATTCAATGGTTCAATGATTCAAATGAGCAAATACAATTGATATCTTTTCAAAGGTTCTCAAATGAGCAAATGTGACACACACTCCACCAAACTCGGAATATTTGGAAGAGTGGCTGCATCACTGCATGTATAGTTGATTTTGGGATCTTTTTTATTCATAGCTGTTGTGAACCATATTGGGCTGTATTTTTTTTTTTTTTTTTTTTACTTCTAAGGTTTTATACCCATACCCAGCTTGAACCTACATAAGGGCACAATAAGTAGTAAGACTGTCAATGACCCGATCCAAAAACGACCTGACCACAACATTTTTGAATCTTTAGCTTTCTTGGCAAAAAGTTTCCTCTCGATATCCTTTGGTATGGTCTCCTCCACCACCTTTGGTACCGTAATGATGAATTCAGTAACAAATACACCTTTTATCTTGGGATTTTCTTCTAGGTACTTGTACACACTCTGGGTCAAAAGTACAGACATCTATGAATTCAAGGAAAGATTCTAAACTCTTCTTTCTTCCTCATAAAATGGTGAGATTAATGAGGTTTTGTGTGAAAGTTAAAAACTAATGAACAACTATTCTTCGGACTTTAGTTGCGACTTAGGCTAAAATTTGTGAGCATCTTGTTGATATGCATGCATGAAGCCATTACTGATCTTTTGTACAATTACCAATTCAGAATATAGAGTGTAATTGGGTAATTATTTTAGTCATTTAATAAATGAGCAAATAATTATTTCATTTTATTGCTTCATTTTTTTCTCTTTCTCCTTACACTTCTGATTTGTTTGCAAGTCATAATCATTGAAAAACTTCGTTCGAAGTATAGCTTCTCAATTATTCCAAGTGAAGTAAATACTGTTGAATCTGATAATTAAATTGTTCAAAAGAAAAATAAAGCAGAAGAAAGCTAGTGTTACAACTGAACAAAGCTAGTTGTCAGTGATATTATATAAACAACATCACCAAGGGGCAGCAATCCAAGAGCATTCAAGGGAGAGAATTGAAGATTGAAGTTGATAAGATAAGTTGACTTTAGGAAGAATTACATTTTGGCAATTATTGTATATAGGGGAAGGAAGGCAGATAAGAAGGTTAGGAAATTGTTATAATGTTCTTAGGATTTGTATAAAACAATATTAGTATTAGTTTTTATGATGTTCTCGATGGGACAAATGTGTTTGCCCTATACAATTTCAACTTAGATAATTCCATAATGATCAAATTTGACAAATGTGTTTGTGTTAATATTGTTCTTATAATCCTTGGTATGTTAATGCATGGTAAAAATTTTCTAAAAGTTAATCTTTCTTCATTGATATTTACAAAAAATTACAGGTTATATAATTGCAAAACAATTCTTTGCTCATTTATCAAATGAGCAAACTATTTAATGCACATTTGTTAAATGAGCAAATAATTCTTGCTCATTTTGTCACAAATTAATATTTATTATTTACTAATTTGTCAAATGAGCAAATAATTCTTTGCTTAATTTTTTTACTCAATAAATAACCTTTCTCTGCCTCTGCTTGTAGAATAGAATAGGTACAATTCTTTGCTCATTTGTTAAATGAGCAACCAATTCTTTGCTCATTTGTCAAATGAGCAAATAATTTTTGCTAATTTATCAAATGAGCAAACAATTATTTGCTCATTTGTCAACTTACAAGCCATGTTCCTCTCATCTGAGTATCATACATGTCCTTTTCTGAGGGAATTGAACCTTTCATGCTTTGATATTTGCAAATACTACAATACTTATTTGCTCATTTTTCAAATGAGCAAATACAATTGATACATTCTATTCCTTCTGCATATACAATTGATACATTTTCCGAGGTTCTCAAATGAGCAAATGTCACACACAGTCCACCAAACTCAGAATCGGACGATACAAAATTAAAAATCAAATGAACAATGAATAAACAAGAATTTGTCAAATGAACAAACAATTCTTTAAGAAATATCAATTCAAAAATCTTCGCAACAGTAAATTGATGTTTAATAAAAATAAAAAATATCATATGTGCTAAAAATATTCTAAATACTAAATTAAATATTCAACAAATATTTGATAGATCAAATATGCTAAAAATATTAAATCAAATATGTATCTAAAAGTATCACTATACTTTCTTTGGACAATTTCTAATATCATGATGACTCAATTCCCTACAACCTCTGCATAATCTCTTCTGCTACTGTAGAAGAAACTAAACCTCTGCATAACAAAGGTGATACTTTAGGAGAAACTACTACTGTAGGAGTAACTAGCACATTGCCATTGGCATTAGAATCACTATTAAGTTGTTCGTTGTTGCTAATCATTTCTGCAGAGAAATACAAAAAACAAGTCAATAACATAGTAAAATAGAAAATATAGCTTTAATTATATTTGCTCATTTTTTTTTATATTTGCTCATTCTAACTTTATTTTGCTTAATAACAAGTCAAGTACACAATTAAATAGTAATTATATTTGCTCATTTTAATTCTGTTTGCTCATTTTGATTATATTTGCTCATTTTAATTCTATTTTTGCTTATAGTTCTGTTTGCTCATTTTAATTATATATGCTCATTTTACACACCTTCAATTGAAATGATCAAATTTATAACATTAATGTTAAATAAAAAAATTCAATAGGAAAATAAACAAGCAATACAATTTTTTTTTTTATTAAAATCTTAAATTGAGACTACTCAATGATCATATTACTCATATAATTCTGTTTGCTCATTATAAATTTTCTATATTACTACACATATTTAGGTTTGCTCATTTTCAAATTATTTGCTCATTTTATAATTTTTTTTAAGTGCAAATGATTAAGAACATTCAACTGGACAAAATATGAACATAATTAGAGCATTCAATTGTAAATTTATTTGAAAATTGAAAATTCTCATATAGTAAGATTAACATGCAATTCAATAGTTCTCAAATACTCAAATCGAAAATTTCTCATTGAATTTTAACGAAAATAATCCAACATTTTAACGAAAATAATCCAAAATTTTAACAAAAATAATTTATGTAATTTCGAAAATAACCAGAGCAGAACAATTTGAAATTCACAAACACTAAGATTAACATGCAATTGAAAAATATTTTGTAAATTTTGATGCTAAGACTAAACTAAGATCATTAAATTTACAAAACTAAGAGAAATATAGACCTTAATAATCGATGGAAATTGGTACTTGTGAACAAGAAGAGGAGAGAGAAATTGTCGAGTTTGAGATTTTAATTAGATGCCATTGATAAAACCTTGAAGCTTCATGGTGGAGACAGAACAGAGCAGAAAGTGCGAACAAGAGCAAACAATTAAACGTGGTTGTTAGGGAAGGGTTATATCATTAATCTTAGTTGTTGGATTTAATACAATCTGATAGTTGAGATTTGTTCTCACATAAGGGATGAGTTTTCACATAAAGGGTGGTTCTCACTGGATCCCAACCCAATATATATATATATATATATATATATATATATATATATATATATATATATATATATATATATAAAATTTTAAAAAACAAAAAAACAGAAAATTACAACGATCCCAAACGAACCCTTAATTTTGGTTTTACATTGAATAATTTGAAAGAAAAAAGCGTGCAAGGAATTTCACTAAACAAATTGAATAATTATGAATATTTATTATTGATAAAGTACATGCATATTTATTATTTAAATTATCGCACCCTTTACGAGTATAATAGGCTAGTTAAGTTTTAATAAATAAAACCTCAGTCTTAATTTTTTATAATTACTTTTGATAAACAAAATTTCGTTATTTTTTAAAATTTTCACTTTTAATTAACCCCAACTTTCTTTAAATTTTGAATCAAATTTAATCAATTCAACGTCACAATTCATTTTTATTTGTTATTTTAACTTGTGCAAACATGTCAAACTTTTTGCATCGTGTAACACAAAATCGTAACGTAAAGACATAACCCTTCCCCTTTGGTTTGAATCGACTGCCTCAACTCTTATTAATCCGGATTTACATTGATTTTAATGAAAAAAAAAATTCAAATCTAAAGACAATCAATGATCATCTATCATTAATACTTCAAAAGCGATTTCAAAATACTAGTTTATGTGTATTTTTTTTTAGAGACTAATCTTTCAAATACTATAAAAACAGTGGAAAATAATAGTGTAGTACTACCTCGAAGGCCATCTCAAAATATCTAGACATCTCAAAATAGTTCATGTGACTAATATAATCCGAGTAGACGCAATAAACTGTTTTGAAGATTCTATTTCATCAGTGATCATCTAGTACTACTTCAAAGGCCTAAAGGGGCCATGCATATGTAAATGTCTTCTTATCCATATCCATATATTCTCTTGCAAGAATTTCTTCCTTTACATCTTTTCCAATTATATTAGTACAATTATTCAACATTTGTTCTCCTTTTTTTTTTTTTTTTATTAAAAAAAATACAATCCATTTATCTATCCATCCCTATAAATTGGCTATCAAAACTCAATTCTACACATTTTCTACTAACCAAGTAAATACATTCAAGTGTTTTCAACTCTCAACTTCCCTTCAAAAAAAAAAACCTCAACTCATCTACTTTCAAAGAAAATATAATGGATAGAGTAAATGAGCTAGCAAAATCCAAGGCAGCTGTAATTTTCACAAAGAGCTCAGACTGTATGAGTCATAGCATCAAGTCCCTCTTCTACGAGCTCGGAGCTAGCCCGGCAGTGTACGAAATAGACCGTGATCCTAGAGGTCGTGAGCTCGAGATGGCATTGCAGAGACTAGGGTGTAAGCCTACAGTCCCTGCAATCTTCATCGGTGGCATGTTCGTGGGATCGGCCAAGGACGTTCTTGCTGCCCATCTCACTGGTTCTCTTAAAGACATGCTCATTGCTGCTAAAGCTATTTGGTTTTAGCAATATAAACATCCAAAAACAAGGATGTATATAAGTACTTTTTTTTTTTTCCCTTTTCTTTTTTGGTTTTAATGGAGGAAATTTATGGCCTCCAGTTTAAAAAGAGCTGAGCTAGCGCAGTGCAGCATTCTTTGAGGGCTTTTCGTTTTTTGTAAGGCCTTGATATGTAGCTGCATTTTGTGAATAACATTGTAATGTAACAAAAAGAGAATTATGAAGTAAGGCTTCAGAGATGTTCTCTGTCTCGTATATTTGTGTGTTCTTTATCGTTATTTTTCCATCTAATTTTGTACATGACTATGTTTTTCCTCATATATAACGTGAATTCACAGTCAAAGTTGATGAACTTTGACTCTAAAAAATATATGAGGCAAACAATTAGGGACGGAGGAGGAGGAGGCAAGATACGGAGATTCTATTTCAGGTGGATATTGTATGATTAGGTATAACATTAGGAAGAAGTCAAAATTCTAACTGAATAACCTGCAGTCTATGTCACAGAGATGGGAACGAAAATCTGCCACTGGGTGACAGGGTACTGTCAGACTCGGCTATTTTAAATTAAGAGTTTCAATGTTTTTGGTCAAGAATGAAGGGCTGGAGTATATATACCCATGCATGTTAGAGTGTAGAGAATCATACATGAGTAATTAAAATGAAATAAAAATGTCTGAAAGGTAAACGAGAACTTCTTAGCCTCTAGTATTGCTTGTAATTATTGACGAGTAAAAAAAAATCTATTGATATGAAACAAAGCCTGAATTTTAGTAGGTAGCAAAAAGAGTATTTTGGTATAGAATGCTTATCAATTAAGCTTAATTTAACACTAACAAGATTTATCATCAAACTAAAATATATAAGGTTACATTTTTTTTTTTTTTTTTATTTTTACAAAACGTATTTCGTTTGATTTCCGTTCTTATGAATTGATGATGCATGGCCAAATTGACAGGCAGGGTAATTCAATAGGATTATTTGTGTATCTACTTCTATTTTGTGAGGAAAATAAACCGATAAATGTTTACCAAATCCGAAATTTTAAGGAATATAAGACGAAAATATTGACACGTATCTCATAATGACTTATTATGCAATTTCATCTAAAAATGACTTCTACTTTTTCATACGATGAATTTTGTTTGACACATATATACAAGATGACTTTCTAAGATAGATGAGGTGACTATTATTCATTAATAGGGGGGCCTATACTAGATCGAGTGGTAAATTACATTTCTTCTAAAACGTACACGTGTCTTATTTTAGAATTTCTATCTCCGATGTATCTTATAGATGATTACTTAATCTACGGACTAATATGTAAGTTGTGACTTGTAAATACATGGAAAAGCGGGTAGAGTATCCTGATTCACTAGACAAAGAATATATTGTACTGTATTTATGCATCAAATGCATGTCCTATAGGTTTTCTTAATTATGTTTTCTAAAAAAGCAATTCAGAGAGATATTTGCACTCTTTATATAAGCATTTTAAGGCTTATCTAGAATCCTTTGCTGATACTAATCCTGGGATTATTTATAGTCCTCAGGTCGATCAGATCATGTGCTTGGACGACTGTTTCGTGTAATATTATTGTTTCGATCTCCAACCAGGCCGCGACAGCATAAGTGACTACAGATCAGAAAGGAGAATATTTAGCCATATATGATTCTTGATTGGAGCATTATAGGTTAAAGCTTTCGCGCTAAGACAGTGGATGGCTCTTGTTAATCTATGTGTTCCACTTTGTTAGACGTAGGACCAAAAATGTGTTATAATACTATAGTTTAAATATAGGATAAGAACACATAGATTCTTCAGCAATTGCTATACTGTGAGTTGTGACAGGTATCATTTCCAAAAGTGACCTTTTTCAGTAATAAGATGAATGAAGCTTCTTCATTACAAATTAGAATTTGGAACTTATAGAATATGAAAAATGTAATGTATGTTAGAAAAGAATTAATGAAGGTTAGTTTAATACATTAACTTGAAGAGCATAATATATCATATTTGATTTTGTTACTTCTATGAGTTTATTAATGTACTGATCACAGAGTAACAAAGGCGTGAAATATTTATTCAAAGGGACGGTTTGAGCAGGATCGTTGTAGGAGAAGGTGCACCAAAGGAGAAAACCCGCAATAACAACAGTAACAGAAACAGATAATTTGCTCTGCACAAATCCAACAGATTGTATCTATCTTAACTCGGTTAGGGAAGGGCTTGAACATCCTAGCAAGAAATAAAATCTGAGAGACGAAAAGTGATGCAGACATAAGCCAGTGAAATACTGACATTCTACAAGTGGGAATGCACTAACAGTTATCCACTATTCCTAATTTTACAAGTAGATGCCAGTATGCCAATTTCGCCCGCTATTATACAGGAAAAGTTGAATCTCATTTTGTATGGGAATTTTACTTGTCTCCTAGATGATCGGTAGTGAAATGGACAGGCAAAAATAGTTCAGATTCTATACCTTCAGAAAGCATATTGACTTTTTTTGTGTTTGCGTTTGTGTTTGGGATTTTTTTTCTCAATGATTCAATGAATATCGACTCCTAAGGCTGTGTTTGGGTTAGAAGACATTGACCAAGAAAGTGGTTTTAATTTTGTAGGGAATTTTTCAAACCCAACTTTGAGCCCACTGTGATCATGCTTTTAAGCATGGTAGCGTCCAAAGGGAAAGAAGCTAGAGATAAAAGAGTCGCCAACAAGTTTTAGGAACTTGTAAATCGTTCACGAGTGTGAAGGTTACACCCCATTCACGATCACGGAGATCACTAACTCCATATTAGTCTGGAAACATGACTGGATATTTGGGGATGATGGTACGAATCCAACCTAAAAGAGATTGAACCCACCCTAAATCGGCATCTACTTAATTCTTATGATATTCATGTGCGCTTTACGATCAACATACATACAACAAGTTAGCCCAAAACTTGTTTAATATATGTTGGTTATTATTAATGCACAAATAAATCTATTATTGATAACCACTTGAATTAAAATCATATTAACCTAAAATCAAATTATTAATTATCTTATTAGGCATGATTTCAAGTACAAAATCCCTTTTAAGCCTGCAAAAAGGCGCGTGATCAAGCAATAACTATAAAACATGAATAATCAAGCAACGTATAATTGACACAACAATCATCATCATAATAATATCATCAAAACATGATCAGAACAATATTAGCAAGATCCTAGGCATGATACTAAACGGATTAATAACAAATCCTAGCATGTCACTAAATAAAAACATAATCAAAGCATTAGGCTAAACATGATACTAGAAATCAACATGATATTAGAAATATTAGTTAACACCATAAATATGATACTAGGAATCAAAAGAAACATCCTAACATGATTTTTATATCGAAAGAAAACTAAGAAATCGAATTACTTAAGTTGATGTCTCGTACCTCTTTCTATCAAAACAATACATACGTTATTAACTTCAACAAATATTAAATCAAATAAACCAAATAAAACAAATAAGAATTGAAATATAGCTTAGGGACCAAACCCTCAGAACTATCAACCTTTCACGTCGAGATCGAAGGCAGCGTTGAGATTAGCTAGGAGTATTCAAGGCTCATGAAGGAGGTATGGTGTTGGGATGTTAGGCTAAGGCTAGAAATCAAGAAAAAAGAGAGAAAGAGAGAATATGCTTTAGCTTAGTGAGAGGATTAGATGATGATTGTTGGTGAATCAAAATGGGGTGAAATGAACTCTATTTTTAGGGAAAGAAGGGTCAAAGGGTTAGAAAAAGAGTTAGAATTAGAACCAAAGTAAAACAGGTTCCATCGCGGCATGACAGGCTTATCGCGGCACGACAGCCCTGTCGCGACGCGATGGTGCTGTCGCTCAACGATGGTTTTTGAAAAGATTGAATTCGTACCGAATCCGATTTCTAATTGAATTGGGTTAATCAAATTTCCGAACATATTCTAATTTGACCGGGATTAGGATCATTAAAAAACAGATGTTTTATCTGATGTAAAATTCTTAAATCTATATCTTTTCGAAAAATAGGATAAATTAGAACCTCCTAGAGGATTCTAGAAGCTAATAATAAAACCTAAGGGATTTAGGATTGAAAACAACCTTCAAAAGGATTCTAGAAGCTTAGAATAAAACATAATTGGTTTAGGAATGAGATTAAGGTTAATGGACTCTCCACATACTCATTGGGTTGTAGGTAAGGCTTGGTTCGGGCTCGGTTTAGTATTTTGGCCATAACTTCTTTGTTATATATAAGTCGGATTTGGGCTTATAATATATCGTTGGAAAGCTCTTTTCAAGCCTCATCCAACTATAAAATAATTGGACCAGGATCATGGACCAGAATAGACTAGTTTGGATGTTTTATAAAGAGGACATGAAATGAATGATTTTGGTCTAAAACATTTTAGGAAAGGTTAGAAATGGTTAAGGCTAAAGGGAAATTCACGAGACTCTTCAACTCTTCACCTAACTCGATAATCAAAGACGTGAAAGGTACCTAGCACTGGGTTTGGTTTTCGGGGAGACACAATCAGGTGTTTACAAAAGCCCCCACTTTTACTGAGTTTGGAGAAACGTAAGTTTCAAAAACGAAAGTCAAAGTAAGTTGATAGGGACGGAGAATGATTCAGAACGTTTTGCGATCCTAAAATCATCCTTTTTTAACGCCGATACTTGCAGAAAAGCGTTAGTTCTACAAATAAAGGAGTTAAGGGGAAAGAAACACGTATCTAACACCGGTGCATGGCAACAATCACATTTAGTAGTTTTCTATGCCTCGAGAAATCCACCGGATGATAATTTTCCACGCCTCATGAATTCTATCGTGAACCACTACGCCTCGAGCGATCTACTGGATGATGATCTTCCACGCCTCGGGAATTTTGTCATGAATCACTATGCCTAGAGAGATCCATTGGATGATGATCTTCCACGCCTCGGGAATTCTATCGTGAACCACTACGCCTCGAGCGATCCACTAGATGATGATCTTCCACGCCTCGGGAAGACTGATATGAGATAGTTTCCACACCTTGGGAACTCTATCGTGAGCTTCTACGCCTCGAGCAACTCACAAGTGAAAGGTGACAAGTTTCCATGCCTCGGGCAGCATGTCGTAGACTCCTACGCCTCGAGCAGCCTATTGAATGATGATTTTCCACGCCCTGGGAAGATTAATATGAGATAGTTTCCACGCCTCGAGAACCCTATCGTGAGCTCCTGCGCCTC